ATCTTAATCCGCTGGATTATGATTTATGGTCAGTTTTAGAGAGTACGGCTTGCTCTAAACGCCATGATAATTTGGAGTCCCTAAAACAATCCGTACGATTGGCAGTGAAAAATTTTCCCATGGAAAGAGTGCGTGCTTCTATTGATAACTGGCCTCAACGTTTAAAGGACTGTATTGCAGCCAATGGAGACCACTTCGAATAAGCTTTTTATACTTTAAATTGTTTTATATTTATGTATTAAACTAACACACTGTAAAAGTAATAAATGTTATATCGCTTAAAATTAAAATAAAAAAACATCGAATCCAGCTTTGCTAGATTCTTGAGATTACGCCAGAAAATATGATAGAAAACTCGTAAAATCTCAACTCACCTTGTCTTAGCCCGGTCGGTCCGGTCACAATGCCTCTGAAGCCTTCATTCAGTCTCTGCACCTCGTGACCAGAGTACAGGTAATTGTGCAGGTTCCTCTGATTCTGCAGTCGTTCCTGGACGCTTAAGTTCATAACGTCCTCATCAGGGCCCGTCAAGCCCAAAATGGCAGCTATCGTAAAAGATTTCCCCCCCAAATTCGTGGATTTTCCCGTCAAATCCACGCCGAAAGCCGAATGGTTACTGTCTCCGTCGTCCAGCGCTGATACCGGCGACGAAGACCTGTCGAGATTCTCCGCCTCATAGTTGTCGTCTTCCGTCAGGTTCGAGAGACGTTCCACGTTCTGCTGGTACGCGGAGGCAGTCAGGAAGTCCGTTAGGTTCGATGGATACACCGAATTCTGACGTTGCTCCATCATGGCTGATTCCCGCGTTCATTTAACGAATTTCCGACGAACCATTTCGGCACTAGCACTTCACATTTGAATTTCAGTAAATCATTAACTTAATTTCAATAGAGAGAGAGAGAGACACATTAACACCGGCGTTATGAAGCGGTTTATGATATGAAACTGTCAAAGATTTAAATCACTTCAGAGGCGGGGCGGCTGCTATCGGTTTTTGCGGGAAAAAATGACATGTAAAAGATGGTCAATTGAGGGTGCATGATTGCCGATTTGGGGGTGGTGGAGGAACGAGAATGGAGTGAAGCGATTGGACGTTGGCCGCGCATGCGCGAGACTGGGCGTGTCTTCATTCAGGGGGTGTGGAACGTCAGTGATTTGCGGTCGGCGAAACCTTTGATTGACCAGGGTCGGATTAAGCACAATTGGTGTCGTTTTTTTTTTCCTACCTAAGCGGATAGCCTTGAGAGGCTATTTTAGCGTAACCTTAACTAGTAGGTGAGCTCACGGGTTTCAAACCGGGAGCGTTGCTAATACTGGCCCTAGTAAGAGTCGTACTTCGCAGAATCTATCACCGGATCGGAAACGCGACCCACTGAGAAGATCCGGCGAGAAGCTCAGTCGGCTGTGTCTGTGGGTTAAGCACGGGCCCGATGACACCCGAGTGCGACCTGAATTCGATATGCCAATGTATGCACGCTGTAATCTTGACTAATTGGTGCAGCGACCTATTTCTGGTGATCAGATACATAGATAATACACATAAATTAGTTATAGATAAGCAACTCAAGCAGTCAACAAAAATATTTAGGGGCGTCGGCCACTAGATGGCTTCGCTTCGATTAGTTTCTCATTGCTCCTGTAGATGACAGTAACAAATTATCTATCCTATATTTTATTTTTAAATGAAGGATTTTGTAAATTTTCAGAAACCGCAAATTGATAACATTCTATCAATTTGTCTATAACAAATAAAGACTTGTATGATTTATTAATTTTATTATTTTCTGTGTTTAGTTATAAAATAATTAAATGCCTTAACTTTAACAAAATATATGTTTAGGGGCATCCGCTACAAGATGTCGCTAGTTTCCATATAAAAAAAAAATTGGTCTTAAAGTATCGCAGTTTCAGGGCCCTGAGCGGATACACGAAGTATGAGGCCTGACTGTAATTATTTTATTTTGGTGTTTTTATTCACATTTCTGCCACTACAATCACAGGCTTTTACCGATGGTCGGATGGTTGTGAGTCCTCACGGGTAGGTACCACCACCCCGCCTATTTCTGCAGTGAAGCAGTAATGCGTTTCGGTTTGAAAGGTGGGGTAGCCGTTGTAACTATACTTGAGACCTTAGAACTTATATCTCAAGGGGGGTGGCGCATTTACGTTGCAGATGTCTATGGGCTCCAGTAGCCACTTAATACCAGGTGGGCTGTGAGCTCGTCCACGTACGTAAGCAATAAAAAAAAAAGTTTTGTTTTCTGTCTGTCGCTAATTGTAAGCAAGAAATGATTTCTCTCAACTTCTCGAGTATTCTTCACGAAAACCAGAAGAATATTTCACAACACTTCAGAGGTCTTTCCTCCGCAGTGGTCGACAATATTTGAATCTCCTTTTTTCCCGCCTTTTCTAGTGACCTGGATCAACCTAAAAAAACTAAAAAAATATACCTAACTCGAATATACACGATAGGCTGAGATGTTATCAAAATAACATAACAACAACCAATGGAACTTTTTGGCGGGAATGCGAGGAGGGAAGTTGTGTGATTTGTTTTATTTTGTCTATTTCATGTTTCTTCAGGTTTAAATGTCTAATAACGGTGGTTTATTAACTGTTTAATATCTGTGAAAGTGCACAAATGTGGTAAAATGAAACAAAGCCGCTGGACGTAATATTCTCGAGATCCTCCAAAAAGTCTACTGAAAAAATCTTAATAAATGACCACAATTTTACTAAGATTATATTTCATCCCAGTTAATTAATGTCTCAAATTAATCATCTTCATTTCTTTTCACTCCATATTATTATTTTTCATGAAAACAAGAATGTAAATTAAAATAAGACATGACTTAAAGGTCTTAGTTACCGGGTCATAAAATCGCTTTTGTTAAAAAAAAACCAATGGGCACTGACCTCCGCGTTAAACTTCCGAGTACATATCTGACTTCGCTACCTCCGCCCCGAGTCCGCGGGCCGGTTCAAACAATTTAATATCATAATCTGTACCTGCGTAACAATAAATAACGAAAATCCGTGAAGTCGGACACGGCATTTTCAAATTGGTTTTCGCATTAAGAATTTAATCCTTGCTTTAAGCTGCAAACTTCAGCTACAACAAATACTCTGTGGTTTGTAACAAACGAATGAAACAGAATAATTAACGCCTAATAACTACCCATTAGTTATTAAGCGTTGAAAAATCTATATATTAATACGTGAAGCAAAAACTTTGTATCCCTTTTTACGAAAATTACGCAGACGGAGGAGTATGAAATTTTCTACACTTATAGAGAATATAGAGAAAAAGTGCACAATACTAATATATTTTTTAAATAATGCATAATAGATACATTCATTCAATAAAGAAAACTATACACACACTACATACCATGTATTTGACGCACACACGCATGCATACTATTTATTGTCAAACTTTTGTTCTTGGCGTCTGTTGTCAAATTGAGAATAGATTAAATATTGTTTGTCTTTGTTAATATTTTTTATAGTGTAGTCTCGGCGAAATTTGTGATTATAGAAGTATAAAATACGATCATAATAGTGTACAAACTTACAATTCCAATTAATTATAGTCGAATTTCGACTACTGCGGGACCTTTAGTAATATTTATTTATTGAATAAATAGAGATATTAAGAACTATAAATGTTGTTTACGTATTTATAGTACAGATGAGTGAATATTTTGTTAGATGAATTTATTATAGTTTTAATTTAATACATATTTTTAGTTTTATTTACATACTTATGTCAATATTTATCTCAATAATCTTAACAAATCAAAATAATTTTACATAAATCAATTCATATTGAATTATTGAATCACATAGTTGTTAATCTATATATTAATACGTGAAGCAAAAACTTTGTATCCCTTTTTACGAAAATTGCGCGGACGGAGGATTATGAAATTTTCCACACTTATAGAGAATATAGAGAAGAAGTGCACAATGCAATTTTTTTTTAAATAATCCATAATAGATACATTAAATCAATAAAGAAAACTTTTAAAACAATAAAGATTTTTTTTAGTTTTACTTATTTACACACTTATGTTAATATTTATCTCAATAATCTTAACAAATCAAAATAATTTTACATAAATCAATTCACATTGAATTATTGAATTACCTACATAGATGTTAAATTATTTTTGACGTTTGTATGTTCTCGCTGCCTGTAAAAGGCAGAAAGACTTTTTGGCGGGAACGCGAGGAGCGAAGTTGTGTGAATTGTTTTATTTTGTCTATTTAATGTTTCTTCTAAATGTGCAATAACAGTGGTTTATTAACTGTTTAATATCTGTGTAGGCGCACAATTGTGGGAAAATGAAATAAAGCCGCTGGACGTAGGTAGCTTCTCGGTATCCTCCAAAAAGTCAGTTGAAAAAGTCTCAGTAAATAACCACCATTTTACTGAGATTACATTTCATCCCATATCATCTCNTAAATCAATTCACATTGAATTATTGAATTACCTACATAGATGTTAAATTATTTTTGACGTTTGTATGTTCTCGCTGCCTGTCAAAGGCAGAAAGACTTTTTGGCGGGAACGCGAGGAGCGAAGTTGTGTGAATTGTTTTATTTTGTCTATTTAATGTTTCTTCTAAATGTGCAATAACAGTGGTTTATTAACTGTTTAATATCTGTGTAGGCGCACAATTGTGGGAAAATGAAATAAAGCCGCTGGACGTAGGTAGCTTCTCGGTATCCTCCAAAAAGTCAGTTGAAAAAGTCTCAGTAAATAACCACCATTTTACTGAGATTACATTTCATCCCATATCATCTTATCTCATTTCATTAAATTTCATGCCAATTGATTAATGTTCCAAATTAATAAACTTTACTTCGTTTCACTTCATTATCAAGATTTTCTATAAAAAAAATTATAAAAGATTAGGCTGAATGGTATGATACCTTGGCTTTTCCAGTTGGAAAAATAGAACTACTACTGCTATAAATTTTGAAAGTGCATTTGTTTGTTTGTTTGCCCGTTTGTACTGCTCACATTAGCAGTGACGGCATGATTTTTTAGTTTCCGACGCGTTAATCCACACTTATCCTACTTTAATTATTGTAAATGTAAATGTAACTACTACTTACTAAAAGGCAGAACGGAAAGGCTTCGCTGCTCACGTCTTTTCGGATCCTCCTGGTCCATTAGCAGTACTTTTGGTACCTGAAGCACCGGTCATCGTTCTCGTCGAACCCGTTGCTTGCGACGAAGGGCTCGACGAGTAAATTAACCCTCAGACACAGCCCTCTGAGTTTCTCGCCGGATCTTCTCAGTCAGTAGGTCGCGATTCCGATCCGGTGGTAGATTCTGCGAAGCACTGCTCTTGCTAGGGCTAATGTTAACAACGTCTTAAGATTAGAGCCCCGTGAGCTCACCTAAAAATTAGTCAGGTTACGCTAGCAAAACACTCTGAAGTTACCAGTTTAGGGACTTTTTGGCGTTACGCGAGGAGTGAAGTGTGTTGGATTTGTTTTATTTTGTCAATTTAGTGTTTCTTCAGGTTTAAATGTGTAATAACGGTGGTTTATTAACTGTTTAATATCTGTGAAAGTGCACAAATGTGGGAAATTGAAACAAAGCCGCCGGACGTAGCTTCCCGGGATCTTCCAAAAAGTCCACTGAAAAAATCTCAGTAAATGGTTACCATTTTACTGAGATTATATTTCATCCCATATCATCTCATCTCATTTCATTTAATTTCATCTCGGTTGATTAATGTCTCAAATTAATCATCTTCATTTCATTTCACTCCATA